TATGATTTATTGCTCTAGATTACAGAGCTCCATATTATGTACAGCAGAAACAAGAAATATTCTCATTTACACAGTCTTACTAATCAAAAATGAATCAAAATATGGTGGGAAAAAGTGAAAAAGAACATTTTGCTATACAATAAGTATTTTCACTTCATGCTCAACACTCTCAGAAATCCCCCCTCCAGGGAATGTGAAATTTTTTAGAGGATTTTTGGATGGCCGTAGTACATAGCTGATGACAGCCTTGAGTGTATTGTCAACAACAACAAAAAACAGATTCAAGAACTTAGAGCTGTACAAAGAGTGAACTGAGGCTAGAACAATGGCATCAAGAGACACCAGGCAGAGGAAAGTGACATGAGTGGGTTTTAGGATTCATGCACGAAAAAACAAGCCAGGAATGGTTAAAAAGATTTATTAATAAATTGCCACTAGTCTGTTCCAGGCCCAGGTCCAATCTGTAGAGATACGGTGCAAAGTGAATAACCATCACATCAATGTGAAGAAGATGAAGGAGATGATTGTGGACTTGAGAAGGAACAAACACACGTATACCCCCCGGAACATAAGAGGATCTGCAATGGAAGTGTTGGAATGGAAGTGGAATGTTATGGAATAATGTTATGATAAATGAGATTGACATATCTAATAAGTCTTAGACATATGATAATTTTGTTAACCTTGTGGTGTCTACTAGAACAGGGATAACCGTAATATTTGTGCCTTTTTTATCTGTAGAATGAGAGAGTTTGCAGGTCATCATGACATGAACCGTCATGATTTAACTTTGCATTATTAGATTGGATATTGATTAACTGTTCCATCTTTTCTATCTTCTGTTAATAAAGCTGTTTACTTGTGTTTCTGATTTTATAATGTTTATCTTTAATTTGAATTGTTTTGTTATTGACATACATGTGTAATGATCAGTGCTATGAAATTTCACCTGAGGTAAAATGCTGAGGTGTTTTCTTATTTTTATTAAATAAAATTGCTGGGTCTGTTGGGGGTGATGACAGCTCTCATCTGGACTCAGGAGAGAAGAGTAGACAATAATATTTAAACATTTAAATTATTCATTAATATTTACATAAATAAATAACATGTAAACTATTCAGGTTAAGCAACACTGATTCATGCCAGGGTTGGAAATGGAGCTGTATTAGTTTGGGTTTTTAATTTCAGGTAATAAAACTATTCATCATTTTATTCCTCCCACAGAACAAACACATGTATGTTAGGTTTTGAGGTGCAGGACCTCCTTAGCAAAGTTAGGCCTCCTTTGCTGGGGATGTCTGGTGACCTAAAAGGAATTTGCCTGGTTAAATAGAAGTCACGTTCAAACACACATATTCACACACACACACACGCACGCACGCACGCACACACACAGAGTGCTTAATATTTTACAGAGATGGAAAGACAATGTTGATGTGTTCATGTGTACTCATCTGCTCACACAGACTCATGTTCATGTTTGTGCTGATGTTTGACATATTGTTTTTATGCTATTAGTGCTTGGTGTATATTTAGTTGATGTTTCTCTTATTTCATATCTTAGATCTTATCATTGATTTTCTTTTACATTTTATTGTTGGATGTAACTGGGACCCTGTGTACATAATTTTGTTCCACCACATGTACCACACACACATTATAAATGCTTCTGACACCAGTGGCCAACATGTTACAAAACAAGTACACACATCGTGTCATGTGGTGTTCAAAGTGCATTCAACTTAATTCAGTCTTGATGATTTGTGTCAATGAGCATTTGGAGTTTTATACATAAAAATACACTTGATAGTTAGAATTTTAAGTATATTTACTGTATATTATGGTCATTTATTCTGTATTTTGCCAGATTATAGTGATTCTGGGGTTGTTATGATGGGGCCCTTGAAGATTGTTGCCCAGGGTACAGCGAAGTGTTAATCTGGCCCTGGGTATATGAGGAGATGTATGGGAGGCTGGACACTAAAGAGGGTGAGAACGACTTGTACCGATTGATGAGACACAGGGATCAGACTGGAAAGAATGTGCAGCAGATTAGGCTTGTTAAAGAATTGGACAAGGAAGTGGGAAAGATAAGTGAGGGTGAAGTCTGGAAGTCTCTGAAAAGAATGAAGAAGGGAAAGGCAGTAAATAGTAAATGGTAAATGGACTGTACTTATATAATGCCTTTCTATCTTATTTCAAGATACTCAAAGCACTTTACACTACAATCTGTGCCCTCATTTACCCATTCATACAGCACTCTACTAGATATCTACAAAGCTAATTGAACAAATCATTCTAAAGAGACTAATCAGAGCTTTATCACATTCAAACACCGATAGGACACACATCAGAAGCTATGAGGGGTTCAGTGTCTTGCCCAGGGACACTTCGGCATGTGACTGCTGGTGGATACAAACCCCCAACTCTCGCATTGGAGGACGACTGCTCTAACCACTCAGCCACAGCCGCCCACAAGAGGAGAATCAGTAGGACCTGATGACCAGTGGAGGTTTGGAAATGTCTTGGATAAATGGCAGTGAGGTTTTTGACCCAAATATTCAATGACATATTTGAAGGTGAAAAAATGCCTGAGGAATGGAGAAGTGTGCTGGTGCCCATTTTTTAGAAAAAGGGTGATGTACAGAGTTGTAGCAACTACACGGGAATTAAGTTGATGAGTCACACAATGAAGATCTGGGAGAGAACTGTGGAAGCTAGACTTAGACAAGGTGACTGTGAAGAGCAGTATGGTTTCATGCCAAGAAAGAGCACCACAGATTCATCTTTGCTTTGAGGATGCTGATGGAGAAGTACAGAGATGGTCAGAAAGAACTCCATTGTGTCTTTGTGGATTTAGAAAAAGCATATGACAGAGTGCCAAGAGAGGAGATGTGGTATTGCATTAGGAAATCTGGAGTGACCAAGAAGTATGTTAGACTGGTGCAGAACATGTATGAGGACAGCAGGACAGTGGTGAGATGTGCTGTAGGAGTGACAGATAGCTTCAAGGTGGAGGTGGGAGTGCATCAAGGATCGGCTCTGAGCCCCTTCTTGTTTGCTCTGGTGATGGACTGAGTAACAGATGAGGTCAGGCAGGAATCCCCATGGACTATGATGTTTGCAGATGACATTGTGATCTGTGGTAAGAACAGGAAACAGGTGGAAGAGATTTTGGAGAGGTGGAGGTATGCACTTGAAAGAAGAGGAATGAAAGTCAGCTGTAGTAAGACAGAGTACATGTGTGTGAATGAGAGGGAGGAGGTGGAACAGTGAGGCTACAAGGAGCAGAGGTCACAAAGGTGCAGGACTTCAAGGACTTGCAGTCCACTGTCCAGGAAAATGGGGAATGTGGTAATGAAGTGAAAAAGAGAGTCCAGGCAGGATGGAGTGGATGGAGAAAAGTTTCAGGAGTGATTTATGACAAAAGGTGTCAGCAAAGGTAAAAAAAAAAAAGTTTACAAGACAGTGGTTAGACCAGCTATGTTGTATGGTCTGGAGACAGAGACATGGACAAAAAGACAGGAGAAAGAACTGGAAGTGGCAGAAATGAAGATGTTGAGGTTCTTCTTAGGAGAGACAAGGATGGATAAGATTAGGACTGAGATCATCAGAGGTACAGCACAGGTTGAACAACTGGGAGATAAAGTTCGAGAGGTCAGACTGAAATGGTTTGGACATGTCCAGAGGAGGGACCATGGGTATATTGGTAAAAGGATGTTAGAAATGCAGCTGCCAGGAAAAAGACAAAGAAAAAGGCCAAAGAGGAGATATATGGATAGAGTTAGAGAAGACATGAATGTAGTTGGAGTGAGGACAGAGGATGCAGAGGACAGAGTGAGATGGAGGAGGATGGTTCGCTGTAGCGACCCCTGAAGAGAGAAAAGCTGAAAGAACATTTAAGCTAATATTACTACAGTACCTGTGAAATACTTATTATACCAACTCTTCCTACTTGCACCATTAGATTCTACCATGTTGTCATTACTATATTTCTTTTTGACCTTGTAAATATTATATTTCTTTTCACTTTTTGGTACTTTATTTTGTACCTTTATTGCATGCTTTAGTATTTCTTGTTTGTTTTTTAAGCCAGTTGAAACTGTTCTTCTCATCCTGAACATTTCAATGCATCATTGACCTTGTGTTAACCTGCAAATGTCAAATAAACAATAAAGTAAACTATTTAAGTATAGTCCATTTACCATTTGTTCCAGGAACCCACAGTCAGACTGTAGAAACCAGCTTACTTGAGGCTAACATCAGACTGGAACAGCTTTGTTTATAATAAAAAACAGTTATAGACAATTGCTGGGATTTATTTCTGTAGAAAAAGGTTTTAGGGTTAAAATGTTAGTTAGATTAAAATGTGTATTTGAATAGTAAAACTCATAGCGCTCATGGTGCTAAAACTAATAGTTAAAACAATCCTACTAATCCTAGAAGGGTTGCTTTAACAGGAAACTAACATTGTCAACATAGAATGAATGCTGCAGCAGCTGACGACGGAGGTCAGATCAGGTGTTCAGGTTTCTGACAGTCCCACACAACATGAGACGTTATAAAATCTCAGCTGGGAGGCTCTAAGCTAGTCTAAACAAGGTTTAAAAGAACATTTTGTTCCGGGTTCTGCAGAATCTGCATGTTGTGACACTTATTGCAACACATATTTCTAATCTTTCAGTTCATCTCAGAGATCATCAGCAGCTTTAACTGAAAGTGCTGTAGGTGTTTGGACCTATCAGACCCAAATTGGGCTGTTTACTCATGTCTGAAGTCAAACAAACAAACAAGCAAACAAACAATTTAGGGCTGAGTACAATAACATCACTTGTGTTATGATTATTTTTTGGCTTGTGGGTTAAAGTGACTAATCACTGATTTGCAGAGGATTTCTGTACCTCTGTAGGTCCACAAAATATTTAACTCAACTAACATGACAGAAGAAGAAAAGATTTCAGATGAATCTGGATCTTCTGGTGTTCAGGTGGACATCTCACCTGGATCAGAGTCACCGTCCCCGCTCTGAGCTCCACCTCCAGCTGCCAGCAGCAGCAGCACAGAAATCTTCCAAGGGAACAGCATATTCTCAGCAGGTGTCCATCCAGTTGAAGATCAGCTAACCTGTTCTCTGCTCACCCACAGCACAATGCAGCACAACACCTTGACAGCAGAGCTGCTCTTCTTCTCAGCAGCAGGAGAAGGAGGGGCCTCTGCAGAGGAAGGAGGGAGGCGATGTTGTGCTGGTTGAGGTTTCTGCTCACAGGATGCTTGTAGAGCAGAAAACATCTCTGATCAGCAGAATAAGAAGTTTTTGGACAGCCAATTCGAAACCAGTGCTTCTTAGAAGGATCTGGATTATATTTTACATCAAACTCACTCACAGAAAAATAGCTGACCTTCATAGCTTCTACCCAATGGGGGAAGCTGAGAAAAGAAGAATGTTGTGAGAAATTCAGAGAGGAGCTGTTAAAGGCTCTGGGTGGTAAAAAAAAAAAAAAAAGAACTTCCTAATGACTGGGCTACTACAGTGACAGTAATTAGAGAGACAGGTAGGAAGGTACTTTGTGTGTCATCTGGACAGAGAATGGATGATAAATAAACCTGGTGGTGGAATAGTGAAGTGCAGGACGTCATTCAAAGAAAAAGATTAGCCAAGAAGAAATATGACAGTGAGAGGACTGAAGAGAGGACACAGGAATATAAGGAGATGGGACGTAGAGCAAAGAGGGAAGTAGCTAAGGCAAAGCAGAGGGCGTACGATGAGTTGTATGGGAGACTGGACACTAAAGAGGGCAAGAACGACTTGTACCGATTGGTAAGATGGAGGGATCAGGCTGTAAAGGATGTGCAGCAGGTTAGGTTTATTAAAGATAGGAATGGTAATGTTCTAACAAATGAGGAGAGTGTGACGGGAAGATGGAAGGAGTACTTTGAGGAGCTAATGAATGAAGAGAATGAAAGAGAAAGAAGAGTAGAGGTCATAGAAACTGTGGACCAGGAAGTGGGAAAGATTAGTGAGGGTGAAGTCCAGAAAGCTCTGAAGAGAATGAAGAAGGTGAAGTCAGTAGGACCTGATGACCATTGGAGGTTTGGAAATATCTTGGAGAAATGGCAGTGAGGTTTTTGACCCAAATATTTAATGACATATTTGAAGGTGAGAAAATGCCTGAGGCATGGAGAAGAAGTGTGCTGGTGCCCATTTTTTTAGAAAAAGGGTGATGTACAGAGTTGTAGCAACTACACGGGAATTAAGTTGATGAGTCACACAATGAAGATCTGGGAGAGAGATGTGGAAGCAAGACTTAGACAAGGTGACTGTGAGCAGCAGTATGGTTTCATGCCAAGAAAGAGCACCACAGATGCCATCTTTTCTTTGAGGATGCTGATGGAGAAGTACAGAGAGGGTCAGAAAAAACTCCATTGTGTCTTTGTGGATTTAGAAAAAGCATCTGACAGAGTGCTGAGGGAGGAGGTGTGGTATTACATGAGGAAATCTGGAGTGGCAGACATGTTAGACTGGTGCAGGACATGTATGAGGACAGCAGGACATGTATGAGGACAGCAGGACAGTGGTGAGATGTGCTGTAGGAGTGACAGATAGATTCAAGGTGGAGGTGGGATTGCATCAAGGATCGGCTCTGAGCCCCTTCTTGTTTGCTCTGGTGATGGACCGAATAACAGATGAGGTCAGGCAGGAATCCTCATGGACGATGATGTTTGCAGATGACATTGTGATCTGTGGTGAGAACAGGGAACAGATGGAAGAGAACTTAGAGAGGTGGAGGTATGCACTTGAAAGAAGAGGAATGAAAGTCAGCCATAGTAAGACAGAGTACATGTGTGTGAATGAGAGGGAGGAGGTGGAACAGTGAGGCTACAAGGAGCAGAGGTCACAAAGGTGCAGGACTTCAAGGACTTGGGATCCACTGTCCAGGAAAATGGGGAATGTGGTAAAGAAGTGAAAAAGACAGTCCAGGCAGGATGGAGTGGATGGAGAAAAGTTTCAGGAGTGATTTGTGACAAAAGGTGTCAGCAAAGGTCAAAGGAAAGTTTACAAGACAGTGGTGAAACCAGCTATGTTGTATGGTCTGGAGACAGAGACATGGACAAAAAGACAGGAGAAAGAACTGGAAGTGGCAGAAATGAAGTTGTTGAGGTTCTTCTTAGGAGAGACAAGGATGGATAAGATTAGGAATGAGATCATCAGAGGTACAGCACAGGTTGAACAACTGGGAGATAAAGTTAGGGAGGACACACTGAGATGGTTTGGACATGTCCAGAGGAGGGACAGTGGTTTGGACATGTTCAGATAACGGAATGTGGGTATATTGGTAGAAGGATGTTAGAAATGCAGCTGCCAGGAAAAAGACAAAGATATATGGATACAGTTAGAGAGGACATGGAAGTAGTTGGAGTGAGGACAGAGGATGAAGAGGACAGAGTGATGTGGAGGAGGATGACTCGCTGTGGTGACCCCTAATGAGAGAAAAGCCTAAAGAAGAAGAAAAAGAAGAAGAAACTCAGTCACAGACAGGAAGCAACTTTGATCAAACTGAAACCAGACTGAAGTCTGAACACCACGGCTTCTTCACTTTTCTATTTCCATTCACTGATTTTAAATCAAATCAGATTTTAACTTTTCTCAACTAGAGTCAGATTTAAAGTCACATTCTACAAATAAAACTCTGTTTTAACTATCTTTATCATACGTAAACAATAATAACAAATACTATGTGTGAAGCTGCTGCTGCTGTTTGTCAGCCAGGGAAGGGTCAAAGTTCATCTGGAGTACATTGATGTGCAGAGAGAAAGATTCTTCACATTTCAGACAGTTGATCTACCCAGAAGGTCAGATCGTGCAGTGACTCTACAGGCCTCAGTCAGCCGGTCAAAGGTCATGTCATCTTCTCTGTATAAACAACATGGCAGCACCACTTAGGTTTGTAAAGTTTCACTTGAAGGAAACACAAGACTTCTGGACCAAAACCAGACCAGAGACAGCTGTTTACCCATAATGCACTGCAGCAAACAGCTCCTCCCAACTGTCAGCACGGTGGTAGAGGGCTGATTGTTTGGGCTCCTTTCAGTCACCGAGTGGACCAGAACTCCTCTGTAGACCAAAGAGCTCTGGAGACAAACATGAGTCCATCTGTCCAACAGCTGAAGATTGGACCAAACTGGGTCCAAAAGGACCATGATCGCAAATACAGCAGCCAATCTAAAACAGAACGGGTCAAAAAGAACCAGAGTTCAGAATCTAAACATGACTAAGGTTCTGCGGTGGATGTTCAGAGAGCTGAGCAGAACCCTCAATGATGGAAAAGAAGAGTGGGCTAGAACTCCTCCAGAACTAGGAGAGAGACTGATGAAGTCCTACAAAGGAGGAAGATCAGCAGCTTGTTTTTTATTTAAACCTCAGATTATTCCTCTTAAACCTTTTCATACGGGCATCAAACTGTCAGCTTATGGAAACAAGTCATTTCAGAAACAGCAGCAATGATCTGGCTGTAACTTAATGACGTTGTTGCATTTGACCACAATTTTTCTATAAAAATAAACCTTATCTCCTACAACCATCTGCCTGCAGAAGCTCGTCTTGAGTCTGAGAACGAACAGTGCGCTGTTTGAGTTGTTTTGTGTCGAACCCAAACCTACAAACCACTTCCTGTCTCCTCCACTCATTTGGTTTGTTTTCAAATGAGGCCAGAAGGTACACTGTGCTCTTATTTACTATAGCCACAATGCAGCGTGTCAGCCTGCAGAGAACAGGATATCTCACACCTGTGGTGTGGTCACATGACCAGCAGACACCTGCTGCCTCTGACTCTTTAGAGTCTGTTCCTCTGAACAATTTGGACTTTCTGTCTTTACAGGACTTTTACTTGCTGCTTAAAGCCTCAGCTCACCGTGTGTTGTTTTAGAACAATGTGGTTAGATCCGTTTGCTTTTCTCAGATAATTTTTCCGGCTCAGGAAGGGTGCACAGCAAGGCATGCTGGGAAACAATGATGCAATGGCTGCTGCCTCCTCTGATGTGGGAAAGAAACTCAGCAGATTGAAGACAGAAGAGTTAAATGTGAAGGACAGGAAGTGTTTGCTTCTTGAACAAGTCGGTCCTGAGGGATCTCAGGTCGGACTGAATCCACACGAGGGTTTCATGAGGCTCATTTCAAAAGTAGCAAAGGTCCACGTCAGTTTCATTCTGTCTGTGTTTAAATTCCAACTTCTCTCAGACAAAACAATGAAAGACACAGATCGAAACATCACAGTGAAAGAGCTGAAATTAAAAACATGACATGAGTTTAAAGTAAGCAGAAAGTGACAACCCATAAAACTGGATGTGGACACAGGTACTGTCAGTAAAAATGTTCTGGTGTCACAGCTGTGTGAGGTTCTGTTGATCAGAAGGTTCGGATCAGATCAGACTCATGAGGAGAATCTGTGTGATTTCACTTTATTAATAAATCAATTTCAATTTAATTCATTTCAGTTTATTTCTATAGCACCAAACCACAACAAAGTTGTCTCAGGGCACTTTACAGGAACATTCACATAAAAGCCAATTAGTAAAGTTCTCTATCTAAGGAATCCAGCAGACAAGTTGAATCTTGGCTTCGTTGCAGTCTCCCATCCTGAGCAAGCACAGTGGCAACAGTGGAAAGAAAAAACTCCCTTTTAACAGGAAGTAACCTCCAGCAGAACCAGGCTCAGGACAAGCGGCCATCTGCTTTGACCGGCTGGTTGAGAGGACAGGAAGGAGAGACAGACGAACACAGAATGGTAGGTCCAGGTATAGGTCCAGGTGTATCTGAAAGACAAAAAAACACATGTTAAGGATAGAAAAAATAATTACAAATACAAAACAGGTTGAGCAGAGTAAGTAAAGACAGTAGCAGAGTGAAGAAATGTGGTCAGTTTGTCCTCCAGCAGTCTAAGCCTATAGCAGCATAAAAGGGACAGCTCAGGAAACCCAAACTGTCCAAAACTATAGGATTTATCAAAAAGGAAAGTCTTCTCAATCCGGTCTATGTGTCAGCCTCACAGACAGAAACTGGAAGTTGTTTCCACAAGAGAGGAGCCTGATAACTGAAAGATCTGCCTCCCATTCTGCTTTTGGAAACTCTAGGAACCACAAGTAAGCCTGCAGT